CCGTCACTGGTGAGCTGGGTCTGGTGGTTTATATCATGTGGAAATACTTTGGGCACTATGGCCATGGGCCCGTTAGCCGATCTTAATATGCCGCAAGTCGGTGTGTTCATCGCCGTTGGACTGCAGTTCATTTTATCTTTTATCTACCTTTTTAACTTGTACGGCGAGAAGATGAACCGCGAGGAGCGCATTGAGGACGCACATATTATGCACAAGGAGCTACTCCGGAAGCTTGCAAAGGGGAAAACCCTATGCAGTAAGGAGGGGAGGGAAGGCACTCTCGATGTGGATCAGGGAAAAGCTCTACAGTTGTTGGAGGTGAGCCCAGAGCTTCTGCTGCCGCAGCCGATCATCTGTTGCCGTGGACTTATCGAGATCAACAAGGAGGTCGTCATGCGGAACAACAGGGTTGTTGCATACTGTTTTGTCATGACAGCCGCTGTCATAACTATGGCTTTCGGTAACGTCTATGCAAATACGCTATGGTTGCTTATTATCTGCATAGTGGTGTCGCTGGTGTGCTCCGCGATGTCCTTCTGGTCACTACCATATGTTATTGCAAGGGTTAATGTATTCAATTATTTAAGTTCAGCAGTCTGCTTAAATCTACCTGGAATCTGCAAGTTCTACATCGCTGGTCCCGATTGTGTGCCTGGTGGGCCGCACTTCTCTTTGACTTTCATATACACTGTATGCACAGTCATTTCTACCGTGTCGCGTTTAACCGGTATTTTGGTGTTCCACCGCTTTTTCTCAAGGACCAACTACCGCAAAATCATGATCATTACCACGGTCGTACTCATACCTTTTGTGTTGCCCGAGATCTTCATGCTCAAGCGTTGGAATATACAGATGGGCATTCCCGATCACTTCTTTTATATCGGTACCAGCACTATCATTTCACCACTGATAGGCATGGTTGCATGGATGCCATCGATATTACTGCTGTCGCGTCTGTGCCAGCGAGGCTCCGAGAGCATGGTGTATGCGCTCCTAGTCAGCTTTCTCAACTTCGGCGGCACCACCAGCAGCTCGTTAGGTGCCATCCTGATGGAGTATGTGTGGCCCATCCATAGTAATCCGCCGTGCGACTTCAGTAACGCCGTGAAGCTCGTCATTGTTGGTCACGTTATCCTGCCGCTTCTGA